CAATTTGGGATGCTCCCAGTGACACAAATGCATCAAACACATTGAAGAGCACCTAAGAGATGAAAGAAAAATTGGATGGAAGAAAAATTAATGAGTGGTCATCTGGTAAAAATGTTTTCCAGACTTGTCCATTCTAGCTTGTACCATTCAACAGGAGAAAAACTTCCATCACATTCTCAACATGGCAACGCCTTATGATTTAGGTGAGGGTGCTGAGCATGCAGGAGTTTGTAGAGAGGTGTAACAGCTCCAAACTGGAACTGAACGTGAGCAAAACCAAAGAGATGGTGGTGACCATCTCCAGTAGGCAGAGGGATCTGGCTGCTTCAGTCACCACCACCATCCATGGGAAGCCAGTGGAGGTAGTTGAGGTATACAAATACCTGGGAACCATCTTTGACAACCTCCTGAAATTCTCTGCCAACACAGAGGACATTTTCAGGAGGTGCCACCAGTGGCTATACTTTGGAGTCAGCACACCCATCATGATGACTTTTTACTATGCCTTCCTGGAAGGCATCATGACCTTCTCCATCTCCTGCTGGTTCCACTCCCTCAGCCTTCAGAACAGGAACAGACTGCAGCACACTGCATCAGTGTACTCTAAAATCATTGGCCTGCCTGTCAGAACTGTTTCACAGGTTTTTCAGCCAACAGGCCCTTAGACAGGCAGCCAAAATTATTAATGACCCCTCTCACATTCTTCACGCCGCATTTCAACGGCTCCCCTCTGAGCGGCGCCTCCACTGCATTTTCTGCAGGAGGAGAAAATGCAGTGAGCCACCTTTGTCCGAAAGCCACTCTACTTTTTAACTCCAGCCAATAAGCCCATTTCCCACACCATAAACATAAACTACTCTACACTCTTTTTATACTGCCGACAGTTTATTCACTTTTAGTCACCTATAGTTTTTTATTCACTTATTCAGTGACTTTAATTGTAAAAGTGTGTATATACTGTGTATTTTAAGTATTTTTTTTCTCATTCGTTTTGCCTGTTTACGCCCCGTCCTTATTTTTAACATCATGCTGCTCTGTTGTGTCTTAATTGCCCCTTGGGAATAAATAAAGTCTCTCTGATTCTGATTTTTCCAAGAGTTCAGTAACAACTCATCCAAGAGGTCACAAAAGAACCCAGAACAACATCCAAATAACTGCAGGCCTAACTTGCCTCAGTCCTGGTCAGAGT